TTTGTTTTAAACTGTTTTATTCTAATGCCTTCCAAATATAACCCTGTTAATCTATAGGGGCGTTCACACCAAGTACTTTTCCCACAATAGTTCATGAGAACTTAAATTCATGAGAGCTCTTTTAGTTCTGATGAACAAAAGCAGATCGCGTTCACACCAAAATGAGTTCCTGGGGGTGGATTAGGCAAATGAGCCGCTGACGTCACTTCTTCTTCTTCTGCTTTGGGTTTACTGGCAGGCCGCAAACAACTTCACGGCGAGTACAGTAGGTGGCGGTATGCACCTTAAAGTTGCAATTCGCCAAAAAACCGAGAGAAGAAGGAGAAAAAAAACCTCCGCTTCCCAGTGGCGTTTTCTCCCGGAGGCCAAGGGAAGCCAGGCTTCCCCTGTTTTTTCGGATTGTAGTTATAATTTAAATAAATAAATAAAAACACTTTGTTTTGTTTCGATAATTCTCCTTTGCTGTGTGTTGCTGCCGGCCCGTCTCTCTCCCACTCTCATTGAGTACATTTACAAAGAGTGAAACAAACAGCGCCCCTCTAGATGTTATGGTGAAACAGTAGATTGCATTCACTGGTGCGAGAGGAGGCCAGTCGGATCAAGCTTCCCTTGGTGAAGAAAATTGAGGGATTGACCAATCAGATGAGGCCCACGTGATGCCCCTGCCAACCTGTGATTGGTCAGGGCCATGCCAAGGGAAGCCAGGTAACTCTGGCTTCCCTTCAGAGGCGGCTTGCGATTTCACCTGAAGAGATGAGATTGTTTATATTTTTTAGTTACTTACTACTGAGCTAATTACAGAGACGAGGACTGTTGCTGCACTTGCCGTGTGTTAGAAAGGGAAGGGAAGAGAAGGTGGACTATCGCATGCAAATGTTTCTGTACATAATTGTTTTTGAATTCATGTGTTTCATACACGCCTACTGATACTTTGATGTGTACATAAAACTTTAAAGGTCTCCGATTTACTTTGTGAATGAATGCTTCTTTTTTATTCATTACCGAATCTGCACTGCGCATTGAGCGGCTGGTATTGCATTTGGGGGGGGGTGTGTCTGCATAAATTAATAAGAAAATGCTTAAATTAATAAAACGAGAGTTTCGGCTGGAGAGTGCGTGCGGACCTGTCGGTTAGATAACAGGCGTGTGCAAGTCCTGCATCTGTGTGATACAAATGTGTATAAAATGATACCGGGCGCTGTAATCACTCATCTGGTTACGCTATTGACCCCCCCCCCCCAACCAACCCAAAAAAATGGGCTTCCCCTACATTTTTCCCCACGCCACGCTACTGCCGCTTCCGCTGTATGCTTCTGTTTACCTTCCGACCTCAGGCACGGTATGGAGTTGACGTTTTGGTGCTCGTGTTAGACAGCTTCGTAACTGAGTTATTTAAGCCAATAACTCAGCCACAAATACAAATACAGATCGACCATTCAAATGCAATAGAAATGCTGAGTCGGAGGCGAAGGCGAAGGAGGTTAAGAAGCCTTAACAAAAGGATTGGACGACGAAAAGCACACGCTATGGACATGTTTCGCCGTAGGACAGCTGATGATGACCGTTATCACGCCCAAAGAACAGCAATGGTACGTTCATTAAATCACATTAATACTATCTAATGTAGGATTTATGGAGTTATGTAGGGCTAATTTGTGTCTTTGTATGTGTTCCAGATATGCGAATACTACGGAACGCGTCGTGTCCCGCGCTCTCTCTGGGTGAACAATAGAACATCGGCCTGGTGGGAGAAGGTGGTGCCAACGTACACCAATGTGCAGTGGATCAAAGATTTCCGAATGTCCAAGGGCTCTTTTCAACTCCCCTGTATTCGCCTGGAAGCAACGTTGGGGAGATGCAACCTAAAAAAATCGCCGCGGGGCAAGACACGCGCACAGCCCTTGAGGCATCTGAACAGCATGGAAATTGTAAATTGACAATAAAGCTGATCTTTTGTACAGTGCATTTGGTTCTCTCTTTTATTTACCACAGTCAACAGACACAATTACAATAGTGCAGACACACCTTAGTGCAAAGATTAAATGTCAGTATCAAAACAGTACTCATACTGTATATTTGTATATTAATATGAGTATTATTATGTTAAATGTGTGTTAAAGACAATGGGATGAGGTTGAAAGCTCTTTAAAAAGCTTTTGTATACCATCTTTACTGTGATAAATACATACATGTTAAGCATACACACCTGAAGAACTACGTTACACACACACAGGTTAGTCTGTGTACCGCTGCACTGCTGCTGGTTTAAACAAAGACAGTCATGATGCTAGTGCTGTGCATGTAGGTTCTCTTTTATTTATCAGCAGCAGATCAATAAGTGTCAGTAGTATCAAAACAATATAATAACAGTGGCAATATATATATATATATAATAACAATAGGTAGGCTCAGCAGCAGACACACCTTAGTGCAAAGTTAGGTGTCAGTATTAATAACAGTGGCATATATATATAATCACAATAATACAAAATTAACTGTCCCAGGTGTAGGCAATTTGGGGTGAAGTGTCTTGCCCAGGGACACAACGACATCCTGACTGCAGTGGGGTTTGAACCTGTGCTCCCCTGATCCGAACACCAACGCACCAGACCACTGCACCACACGTCTCCCAACAAGTCATTGTACAGTTTATCAACGACGACAAGCTTTTCTTAATTTTTGTATTGAAGGCCTGTTGGATTTAATCAGCTCGCTTAGCACTGCCAGAAGCCCAGCCTGAAAGGTATTTTGTTGCTCCACCTCGATTCCTGGGCCTTGTGTGAATGCAGCAGCCGTTCGTCGTGCATCTCCTTGGCACGCAGGTCCTCATTCTCCTTGCTGACCATGACACGGCAGTCCATCGCCATGATGGTGTCAAGGAAGCTGTCATCGCGTGCCTGCTTTCCTAAGGTGAAATATGCAAGATACAAGATCAGTTTAATCGCAACAACGAGACAACATTGTCCAACATTGGACATGGTGCAGGCAGGGACAGTGTACAAAATGCAGGTGTAAAGTAGAAGATAAGATAGGATCAAATAATATCAAATAAAGAATAAATATCAGTGCCCTTATTTATTGTTTTGTGCTTAATGTATGCTTGAACTTTGTTTTATAGGGATTAGTGGACATCAGTTAGATGTGTAACCTTGTTTCAAGGCCAGAGTAGTTACAGTGTAAGTGGATTGACATCTAACATAACATGGCTGAGTACAATTATAACAATCAATAAAAAAAGGAAAAATAAATAGAATTTCAATTACATTTCTACTTAAATGTGCAAAAATATTAGAACATCAGTCTTTGTGGCATGCAGGTAATCAACTGTTTAAGCTTTTACCATTAAGATGTAGAATGAATGTTGCAAATGACTTGAAATTATAGCAACTACAATGTATTGTTAGAGGTAGCATTATGTCCAGCTAGCATGCTAATTGCTAACGTTATATTATCGTTTTATCCCGGAGGGGAAAACTAGTTTCTAATCCTGAGAGAAACACCTCGCCTGAAACACACGATTAGTGCCATGAGTTAGTGAAGCAAATTACAGAACATTGCACTTATTCACAAGTCAAAACGTGTTCATAGCGGGCATGGATGAGAATAGCTAGCTAGCTAGATGTTGTTAGCCAGCTTGGACCTATGATAGCAAGTTCTAGCATGGCTCGATCTACTGAGCAAATAAAAGTACATCTAAGACCAGTATTGTGCAGATTAAAACAGTGCAGTGCATGTATTTTATTTTACCTTCGTAGTCGTCCCGACATGACTTTGCCAGGTCTGCTAACTTTGCTGAGCCACGGAAACTGCATTCAGTAGAAGCTTCTGAATGCGGCGCTTCGCGTCCTCCGAGTAAATCGCCAGAAGCGCCGACACATCCTCATCACTCCACCGCTCCGATGATTTATTTAGTGTTGCTATAATAACTGCTTCCACAAAGTAATCTCTTCGGGTGCGCTGCCCGAAGCGAGCAAATACAATGGCCGCTTACAAAAAAAAATTCAGAGTCAAACAGGCGTGGTTTGCATTCCGCACAGCCAATCAGACGTACGAACTATTTTCTCCCACAGGAGGGACTGAAAAGCGGGTCAGACAAACTAATTTGAACTACTTTAGTTCCTGGGGCTTTTTGGTGTGAACGCAAATATATCGTAGTTCTGATGAACTATTGTGGGAAAAGTACTCCAAAGTACTCCGGTGAGAACCTGGGCTTTCATTTTTGCTCACTTCGCATATTGTTGGAATTATTTTAATAATAAGCTGGAAATTAGAAATAATAATAAATTGTATTTATATAGCGCTTATCTCTGATTAAAAGTTAAATGAGAAACGAGGTGTGAAAATGCTAAAACAAAGCGGACAAAAGGAAAAGCACATTTTGATTGCCCACGGTGATAAATTATACCAGAACTATTTTGCACGTGCAGTTGAAGTTCAATGAACTGTGCTAATGCATCATAATGGCAGCAGATGTTCATACACTGCTCCTAATGGTAGGTGGGCTTGTTGAAGAGGTCTTCTTCAAAAACACGTGGGACATTAGATCACATCCTGCCGCCCCAATTTGGAAGGCCACTCTTCTTCTTTCTGATTTATTCCTATGACAAAATAAATTCTGTCTTCCACAAATAAAAGATACCTCAGAACATGTCAACAAACAGAGGTACAGATTTTTCAAATAGGTAACATGTTTTATGGATAATGTTCTTTTTATACATTGGAACACATTCTTTCAGCCCAAGATCTATTTGAAGTGATCAGGCCTTCTATCCCAAGTCTATGATTATAATCTCACTTGAATCATGTGGGAATGGAAAGTTTTTGTTGAATTCATATTATACTTCAAAGGAAACTGCTACACTAAGGAGAAAAAAACAAATTCTCTGGAAGAAAATATGAGAAAAAAAGGAAATAATTTGTGTATTGGCTCGATTTCAGGTCCGAGCTTTCTCGCCTACTCACTCCCTTCCTTTTTCACTCCTGCCTGTTCCCCTTCATGTCTTTCTCTTAACTTTCCCTCTCCCGCTCTCTCTCCTCACATCTGGAGGGTATCTGCCGTGGCTGTGTGACTCCTCGCCTGCTATGGGACAGCTTGTTTTTGGACTGGACGTCAGACTTCAGTGCGCTTCAGCAAACCTTGGTCGGACGGGGTAAAGTAGCAGACCAGCAGAACATTGCTTTGGCAGACTTCTTCGCTGCATGTTTTATGGATGGCTGCTGGTATGTCATCGTTCTATATTATACTGGGCTGTTAAGTGTCAGCTTCATTCTTCTGTGCATGACAATATGTATTCCAGACGATCCACTTTAGCAAAGCAACCTTACGACCTCTGCTCAGCCGAGAAAGACCATGCAAATGATATGAAGACTTTTAAAATGCTCTGCCTCTGCTAATAAATACTTGCTCTTGAAGCCTCTAAATTACAAGGTAACATAAGAGTGCTGTTGACTATATGACAGCTTTAAACTCTTCTCTGACCCCTGGATGCTATGCTGTTTTATATTCTAGCCATCGTTCACATGTACAATAAGTGCAGCAAAGTGCAAAGGCTTTTAGTGTGTATTTGTTGTGGGTGTAAGCATTCAGCTTTGTGGATTTTCTGTGTGGACAAACACACAAGCTCTTCTGATAGATGGCTTTTAGACCTTTGCTTTGAGAGCATGACTTGATTGCCCCCTTAAACGGTTATATCAAAACTTCTGGACAGCAGGCTTTTTCCTGGCTTTCCCTAACTCTAGCCTCAAATAAACACTACTGTGCTTGTGCTTGTCTGACAGAAACAAAAGGCTAGATTCTTATTATCTAATTTGATCTATGCCTGAAGCTTTAGCATTGGAAAAACAGAGTCGAGTACCAGCCTGTGGAAATGCTTTCCCTTGCCTTAAAACAGCTCTTTGGCCACAGCAACTAAAGCTCTCATGTCCATCCATGCTTTCGCCAAAACCACCAGACTCCATTGGTCTACCGCTGCCTTGATTACTTTGTTTGTTTCAGTTTTTTTACATTACATTACATTTCATTTTAGTGAAGCTTTTATCCAAAGACTAACAATAAATGCAATAAACCGAAAAGATACAAACTCAGAACAAAAATAATAGTGCATATATATTCGCTTCAAATAAGCCAACGCATTGTAAGTGCTGGGGAATTAGTTTCTAATGGACTACTAGACCATTTAAGTGTTGGGTTAAATGGTTAAGGTACAAGCTATGTTTGTTGTGGGTTTAAAGGGTAACTTCGGATTCACCAAAGTCACGCAATAACACAAACATACTAACAAATATAGGGGCAGTAGACTAAGAGTTATACATGCTTAAATAACAGTTTTTGTTAATGGAGTCTGGTGTATCTGGCAAAAGAACATACATAATGGCTTCAGTTCATTCAGGAGGGACTTACCTCTAGGTGTCTAAAGTACGTTTTACGGCTGCTGACTCACACAGCAGCACACTGCTTGGGAGGAGGGGGCAATGTGGCCACCATGTACCTTAGCTTATACAACTACTAGGGATAAGTACCTCATAAATGACAACAATCAGAACCAGTTTTCAAAACTGTGTGTGTGTGTGTGTGTGTGTGTGTGTGTGTGTGTGTGTGTGTGTGTGTGTGTGTGTGTGTGTGTGTGTGTGTGTGTGTGTGTGTGTGTGTGTGTGTGTGTGTGTGTGTGTGTGTGTGTGGTGTGTAATGATGAGATGCACTGAGATTGTTGATGCTTGTTTTCTTTTTTTAAATTAGCCCTTCAAGTTGTTGAGGCTCGAAGCTTCAGACACGCAGAGGGCAGAGAACCGGACGTCTTTTGTTGCTAGCCTGGTGCGTAAACATTGCAAACCCTTCATTAATTAAATAAAATGCTCTGCAGAGATAGACCAGTGTTGCTGTTTTGAAAAATATTTGAAATGAAATTATGTCGTACATAATCCCATGGTTCCATTAGCCTGCTTTGTTTACATCCGTAACATAGGTAACACTCACTCTTCCATTGGCTAGCGCTCAAACACATTGAAAAAGATCGGGAAAGGTATTGGACCTTTCCAACACATCTGTTAGCGGTTGACCAATCACAACAGAGCCGGCCAGCTAACCAATCGGAGCAGACTTCTCTGGTTTCAGACAGAGGGTGAAAAGAGGTGCTGCAGCACAGGCAGTATGAGAAAGATGAAGAGCTTTTTGAACATTAAAGCATTGAGACATGTCACAGTAGAGCCTCTAAATACAAACATGAACCTGAAAATTGGCATAATAGGGCCCCTTTAGGCAAAGAGTGTGTTGTGGGTGTAATCCAAGTTTCTCTGTGCTTTGTTTACTTACAATGTTAGTATCCTAGTTCATGTTAGTACTTGTTTGTGTGCCCCACGGTCTAGCATCGTTAGCCACTGGCTCACCCGTCACTATGCCCAGATCTGTGTAAAGGCAACGATAGTATTACTGTAGCTTAATCGGTTTCTACAGCTTTAAGCTAATGGGAATACCATTAGTCTTGCATGTATTTGGTTATACACCAAAGTTTAGACAAACTTAAATGTCAACTTGATGAGGAAAAGTCAGATGAATACCAAAGTTATTGAAATTCAGCCTGAAGGGAAAATGAATGTCTGCAGCACATTTCTTAATTATCCACAAAAATTCTTCTGACATTTCATCGTGGACCAAAATGGTAGACCATGTGCAAAGAGGCTGGAAGTTAGATAATGTAATTCGTTTTTTTCAAACCCACTGCATGATAGAATGGCTTAATAATCAGTGTCTGAATAGATTAACCCCTGTCATCTCCTCTAAGTAGCATACAATAGGCATTTTTCACAGCATGCCTTTTTACTGGTCATTATAGGAAAATCACTAAACACACTCTGGCTCTGTTCAATTCAAGTGTCCCTGTAAGTTAGTGAGCCAGCATTTACAACTCCAAGACCGTTAAACTAAAGCAGCTCAACACATTGAGCCAACTCTTGTCACTGTACTGTAACATGTCAGGATCAGCCACAGCTACTTTTAATAAAACATAAAAACCTATAATGAATTACAGGCTATTTCATTTTTTTATTTGGACTGTTTGTGAAGAATGAAAAGAACTCCCTCTGACTCACAAATGGATTTTGACATGAGACATCTGTGCAGTGCCCCTTCATGTACCAATAAACACCTTTTTCCCTCCAAGCAGGATTTTCTTTTCGACATCCCGTAAAAACACTTTCCTCCGAACTGACTTTTGCGAATCAGTTTCCAGGTAACTGCTGTGCTTAAAGCCAACAGGTGGGGAACACAGAGATACTGTATGGTCGGCTCTGTTTCAGAAAATGGCTTCCTGCTGTTTTTGTTTTTTTTAACCTTAGCTGTGAGCTAAATTACATTTTTTAGAAATCGACAGTGAGTAATTGGGATTTTGGGGTGCTTTAACAAAATCAAGAAATGTGTTTTCAACCATGTCAATTACAGCCCATCTGCTTTGTAGGGATGAGTTAGTAATAACCAGACGGAGTTCTGCTGCCATTATTGACAGACAGTAGGGTAGTAAACAGTGAAGATGGCTTATCCCAACACAACATTTATTTGGGAGCCACAGTGGTGTATGGTGCATCTCATTCACCCAACATAATAATAGGTTACATTGATCGACAAAGGATATACAGTACCACCACTTTAATGGCCAACAGTAGAAGATTGTACTATAAACAAGACCCTATTTCCAGGAACCAAATCCTCCTGATGTTTTGAACTTTTCTTTCCATGTGCTTGTGCAACAGGAAAGCTCGGCATGGCCTTTCCCAAGCATTCCATCCTGCAGGCCCTGAGTGTGCTGCTCTTGGCCTTGGTGTTGGTGCATTGCCAGGCCCCTCTTGAGCCAGAGGAAGAGGAGGAGGAAGAGCCAATAAAAGAGAACAACATCTCAACAATGGTGACGAAATCTGAGCTGCTTGAATGTCCGCTGGAGTGCAGCTGTACGGCAGAAGGCTCGGTGGACTGCGCTGGAGTCGATCTCACGGAGTTTCCCGCCGAGCTGTCGGACCAAACTCGCCAGCTCTCTCTACAGGTCTGTAGACTGCGTACACATACAGTTCATTAAATCAACATTTTGTAATTCTGCTCAGAAATGATGTAGACTAAAGCAATCTGGCTGCCTTTGTATGAACTCTCTGTGTTTTGTCCCCTGATGCCAGAACAACAGAATCAAGGAGATAACAGTGGAGCACATCTCCCATCTGCATCAGCTCGAGACCCTCAACCTTCAGAACAACTGGCTTACATCAGCTGGTAAACAATGTTTAACAGTCTAAACACCCAGCAGTGTTCTGTGTGAAAGGGTTCTGTTGAATACAGTACATGCTTTTCCCTGCTCAGCAGTGGGGTCACTGTCAGGTCAAATTAAAGCAATTTTACTCTTTTAATTACTAACTATCGCCATTGGGAGATATTTTAGAGGAGAAATGCAGTTTGGTGTGGGTCCATATTTACTTTGACACTTTTATTGAAGCACAGCTTATAAAAGACAAGTGCTTTGGCTGTCAAGTGTTCCACCAAATCAATACTAGGCTTTGCTTACAGTCAAATCCAGAAAAGGCAGGGCAATTGATGAAAACTTGAGAAGACTTTTCTCTATAAAATGCTGCTTTTCAGCTAAGGTCAATAATAGTCTTTTAAGGCAGAAAGAAATGCAGTGACCTGCTGTCAAGGATATCTGAGCTCTATTTGTCTAACTGTAAAACTGTAAAATGAACTTGCAAGCCGCTTAAATACTGTATGCCTCATTTAGTTTAATCGGGTCATCACTACCCTTATATTATGCCTTTTTTCTGCAGCATTATTTGGTTTGCTTCCATAGACAAAGGTGGGGGATAGTACCTGGTGCTCTTTTTAGTACCACCTCATTTGTGGTTCCAAGCAACCTCAACCTATACTCAAAGGTACATTCAAAACACTACAGGCCACTGATTCATCAGAGAATCGTCCCAAGGAATGTTCTTCGTGCCACACCGTGTCCTGTGTCGTGCCGAAACCCGCCATTTTTAAATTGCCAGCCTACTAGCCAACCTCACTTTACCCAGATTTAAAAAACATTTTACAAAGCTAAGCCTCCCACCGACACTGATGGGGAACAATATTCTTTCGAAATGGAGGCATGTACCCGGCATCAAAAGTAAGTCAAGTAGAATCAAGTTGAGCTGTACCATGCCATGGAAATGAGGCGGTACACACCATATTCTAGCTCCCATAATATTCTCTGGTGCATTTCAATAGGTTTTGTGAATAGAGCACCATCTCATTGTGTGCAATAGTGGGCTTATTTGAATCTAGACAGATCCTATCAATAAACACATGGGGACGGGCTCTAATGGGCTGTGATTTAGCTGGTAACAAGCAGGCATACTTGGAGTATTTGCTGGTGCCCTCCTGATTATGGCATTGTGTGCAACTTAAAGGGGACCTATCATGCAAAATGCACTTTTGTACGTCTTTTATACATGAATATGTGTCCCCGGTGTTCCAGGGAACTCACCAAGTGTCAGAAAACACAACCCTCTCTATTTTCCTCCATACCCAAATCTCTAAAAAAGGGGCTGCAACGGATCTGATAAAAACTGATCCAGATTTGAACACTTTCCTGACGTCAGGACAGTGGCGCTACGGCTATTGGGCCATCTCCACCAATCAGGAGGAGACAGCCACGGCCATTGCCGTTCGAAAGCGCTGGAGACGATGTAGTACATATGCCAGGCCAGTAGATGGTGCTGTTCTCACTGAATCTGCCCTTGCTAAAACAGAGCTAGAAATGGTCAAATTGAGCAAAATGAAGCATGGCTAAAATGCATGATCTGTTTGGTATTTTGAGAAAAAAAAAAGTATAAATATGCCTTATATAGGTATGGTCCTACACTATATTATTCAAATATAGCATGATAGGTCCACTTTAAGTTGTTGTGGGCACTGTTAGCATTGATAGCTGCTAACCACTGGCTCAGCTGCACTATGCCCAGAGCTACAAGCCATTAAGAAACCATGCTGCATGAATCTTGGTCTGGTCTTCACAAAAGTACAAATGGCACAACAGGCATCAAACCTCTTGCTAACGATAGTTTCCCCATTGACTAAGCCTTTGTTGTGTGTGCTAGATGTGTAGCTGAATGCCAATGTGTCATTATAATTCTGACAGTCTGCTGAGAGGAACAGATAGCTTGGAGGATTTTTCTCTTCCTGGCCAGCTGTGCGACTGCTAGCTTTGTTTCTGTTTCCTTCGTCTCCCAAATCTTATGGACCAAGCATTTTGTTATTATAGTAGCCTATAGAGCAACATACACTCTTCAGATGAAAATGTATATGGGAGATAATAACTCCAAGATTGTGAACATGTCTGTAGTGTAAAGACAAAATATCACAATGTCTATTTAACTAGTCATTTAAATACATTATACTGGGAACTGCTCTCCTGAAATCCAATCAAGCCTGGAGTGCCTGGAATCATTTAGCATCAATTGCATTGGTCCAGTCGAAAGTTAGAACCTCTTCTTCCTTCAGTCTCTTTTTCAAATCTGCCTCAAACTTAATTTATCTGTAGACTCCTGAACCTGCCATGTAGTTGCCCTAACAATGTTCTGGTCTAAATGTTTAGAGGTAGAAACCAAGGATGTGTTCATTAAAATACCTTATTAAGTCATTCCCAGTTACTACTCATTCTCAGGGTCAGAACAAGGATTGTCTATCATTTTAGTTTCATAAAGTTTTACTTCAGATTTGTCAAGCTGAACTGAGCATACACTGATTATCAGTGGGACTGACTTAAGGTATGCACTGATGTACAGATTCTCATCAATGTGAAAGCTACACAAATAAAGATTTTGCTTTAGATGCTTTAAAAGGACAAGCTGAACTGAAAAAACATTCAGAAGCAGCACATTAGCGTCACTGTGTTATGAATGAAATTAAGTCCAGTAATTGCCAATAAATCAATGTGCTAAATAGAACACAACAAGTAAAATTGGCAAAATGATGTGTCATTTCCACCCTTGCGCAAATGAGCATATTACAAGTCAGACACATATTGCAGAGTTACATCACTTTAGTAATCTGACTTTCCAGTGCTCAATCTAAAAAGAGCTTTGAAGAACTTTTTCGTATTCCGATTGTCCTGAAATACCTTAATTGAGTTTGAGATTATTTTCTTCGGTATATTACGCTGCCCATTAGGTACAAAGGTACAAAGGTACAACGCCCCAAAACATTTCCAATAGGAGAAACGCGCTGCAGCTTCAAAGCAAAATGTAAATATATAGGCACAATGTGCCAACACATATGCAAATTAGGAAACCAACTTGATGAAACATGCGCAGCCAACTAAAAGAAACACTGCAAATAAAAACGCTGCAAGAAGCTCAAAACACAACAGAAATCTGGGGAAACAAAACATTGATGCACACAGATGGGACCGGTGGGATTGTTGAAGTTCAGGGATGATAAAGTTGTCCAGCTCTCACTGTTGGTAGAGTTAGTCTGTTTCATAAGTATTTAAAATTACTGTTAGCTAGGTTAGCTAGGTCAGCTAGTTAGCTTACAGCAGACCTTCAATAATATCGGAAGGAATCATGTGATCACGTTACATTTTTGGTAACTTTTGAACAAAAGAGACAGTTGAGACTTACTCGTAGCTGATTAATAGTTCATGATGTTTTTCTTTTGATAGGCCTTGAAGATGAAGGTTTTGAGATGCTTGAAGAGCTGGCTTATTTATACCTGGCAAATAACAAGGTGAGTCCCAGTAAACTCGTGTTTATTCTCAATACTGAAACTTAAAATGTGCTTAAATGATGCAAAGGCAACTTAATCTTTTGTCTGTCCAATCATCACAATAATTTGATTACATTTTATTCCGATACACTGACATAGGGCCAGCTGGCAGAGAGAGGTGGCAGTCTCCTCTCATTCACTCTGTGTGCGAGCTTATGCTGGTAATCACTTCCAGTATGGCTGTGCCAGCTGGTGAGAGCTAAAATGTTACTGACCCTTTTGGGCACAGCGAGAGACAGAGAAAGAATGGACAGATTGTTTTTTTTGCCTTCACAGAGATGAATAGGCAAACAGGAAGAATAGGGGATTTTAAAATGCTCACTAAGCCTCAAAGACACCCATGCTGCTTTAATCCATAAACCGGAGGAGAGAGCTCGAAATGAACATCTAATCTCACCAGTGCTTCTCGGATTTGCTATTTTTTACAATGGTGCACTTGTTCTGTGGAGAAAGAAGTGAAGAAAACCTTGCTTTTAATAAGGGGTACACAGCTTAATGTACAGTAGTCCACTTCTTTAGAGAAGACAGACGGCATCAAAGCAAATACTCGTAGGAAATAATCAAATTCTTCTACACAAACAACATTATAGATGTGTTGTCTTTCGAAACCACCATAATGTCCAAAATAAAAATACATTTGAGTGTTTATTTGAGATGGTTAAGGTTATAGAAAACGATCAGCTCTATTAGCCTGTACAGGGGTGGCAGTGGTTCAGTCTGTAGGGGATTGGACTTTGGACCGAAGGGTCGCCGCTTCACGTCCCGATCGGACCAAAGAATACGGAGTGTTGACTGGTAGCCAGTTCACCTCCTGGGCCACTGCCGAAGTGCCCTTGAGCAAGGCACCTAACCCCCAACTGCTCACTGGCGCCGGCTAGACTGGCTGCCTCCGCTCTGACCTCTCAACTTCATGTGCATGTGTGCATATAACTGTGTTTATTTGTATATGTATGTGCATGTTGTAAAAAGTGTGTACTGTATTACCTGTATAAAAACGCATGTGTGTGTACGACAGACTGGAAACTGAATTTCAATTGTACAAATAACGTTAGCATGCTTAAATCATCATAATGGGAGTGTTAACATGCGCATGTTTAAAAGGTGTTATCTTCCCCATGGTAACCATTTAGTCTTCTGTTATATCACGCTAACATATTCCTATGAGCAGTAAACACAAAGTCAGCTGGGGATAAATTGGCAGAAATTGGTCAAACAATTTTACAGATTCAAAGTTTGACAAGGGGATCAGTAGAGTCATCACTATACTGTACATGCTCAGGGGACTCTAACTGACTCTACAAACACTGAACTGCTAGTGGCACTATATAAAAAGGGATCCCAAAAGACATTAGGATCCTGGGACCATGAATTGGGACAATCCGACCGGTATTCATGACCATATCTCATTAACTATGTCTTGTCCTGCTTATTTTCTTGTGATTGCAGCTCACCTCAGCACCAATAGTCCTACCACCCTCTTTGGTTAGTGCTGATTTTGCTGCTAATCAGCTTACAAAGATCTACCCGTATACATTTGGCCAAAAACCCAAACTGAGGTACGTATGTGTGTGTTTGAGTCAATGTACTCCTAGTTACTGGAATCATGTCCATTTACTGTACACATGACAATGTCCCTTGATCATGGATCCCAGGTCTGTGTATCTCCATAACAACAAGCTGACAGACGCAGGGTTTCCTGAACATGCGTTCAATGGTTCTGACAACCTGGAGATCCTCATCATGTCCAGCAACCTCCTGCGGGTCGTCCCGAGGAACCTGCCCTCCAGCCTCTTCCGTCTTCATCTGAAGGTGCAGCACCTGTTCAGTGGGCATTTAGGTGTAAGGTGGATGAAATACATAATCTTAATGACTACAGTAAATTATAGCATAAGGATTGTTCTTGTCGTTGCAGAGTAATAAGTTGGAGGAAATTCCTGCAGGGGCCTTTGACACCTTGTCAAACCTCAGAGAGCTGTATCTCCAGAGCAACCTCCTCAACAATGAGGGCATGGACAACAAGACTTTCAGGTGGACAAACCCTAGGAGTTAAAATGTTTTAACATCTTGATGCTCAGTGATGGATAGTAACAAAGTACATGTACTCAAGTACTGTACTTATAGGTACAATTTTGAGGTACTTGTTATTTACCTGAGTATTCTCAGTTTATGCTACTTTATACCCTCAAAAACTGAAACGTTGACTTTAAATAAATGCATTATGTCAACAGATTTCACATTACTGTATTAGGTTAGTTGAAAGCATTAGGTTCAACTTAATATTATTGCTTTCAACTAAACTAATCCAGTTATATGACATTTGTTGAAAAAAAAAAAAAAAATTCAGTCTACTTCTACTCCACAACATAATAAAAGCCAATATTGTAAATTTTATTCCACAACATTTACGGTATTTGACCGATGTTGTTAATAAGTACCTTTTAGATTTAGATTATTAGCTTATGCAAAATCTAAATCCATTATTAAATAAACCTTGACATACATGTATAGGTTAAGACATCCAGCAGCACGATAAAAATGTTATTCAAATTAGCTCTACATTTACCAGTTGTGATAAGAATACATGATCATCATAATAGTAACCCATTATCTCAATGTATGGTTCTGAAATAGGCCATTACACATGAGTTATATTGATTTTGGTTCTTATATATATATATACTTATTTATTTATATATATCATTTGATGGCGATACTTTTGTATTTTGAATTCAGGCTTTTTACTTGTAACAAAGTACTTTTAAAATGTAGTATTTCTAATTTTATTTAAGTAACACATCTGAGTACTTCTTCCACCACCGTTGTTGCTATTGTATAGTGGAAAAGAAGGACAGCATATATATATATGTTTTTCATGTGCGTAAATAATCGTTTTGCTACATCAGACAGAAAGCACAAATAATTGATTACTATCTCTTCTTTTCTGGCAGCGAATTGAGCAGCTTGGAGTTTTTGGACTTGTCAAATAACAACTTAAGTGTGGTCCCCACGGGGCTGCCGCGCAATCTAGTACTGCTTCATCTAGAGAAGAACTCCATTCGTAGCATCCCTGGAGACGCTCTTACTTCTGTCCGAAACCTCGAGTACCTGCTCCTTCACAATAACAAGCTGCGCTCACGTTCCATCCACCCGTCTGCCTTCCGGGTACATATCTATTTTATAAAGATATTTCACATTATAATTTAATTTGGCAGAACAGCCTGGAGGTTAAAATGCTCAAATGCTTTGTGAAACAAATTTGCATTTTGCCTAGGGTTTGAAGAAGCTACACACTCTTCACTTGTACAACAACTTGCTGGAGAGGGTTCCCAGGGGCTTGCCTAAGAGGGCCAAGACCCTCATGCTGCTTCACAACCTCATTACTGACATTAGCCGTAACGACCTGGCCATGCTGTACACCCTGACAGAACTCAACCTCAGCTACAACAAGCTGACGAGTCCCAAGCTTCACCGCGAGGCCTTCCGGAAGCTGCGTGTTCTGGAAACCCTGGATCTGTCGGGAAACAGCCTGTCCTCGTTCCCCCTGGGTCTTCCTCGCAGCCTGCAGGTGCTCGAAATCAAGAACAACCAGCTTAACTCCATACCAGATGGTACACTGACGGGCATGGAGAAGCTACGGAAGCTCATCCTGAGTGACAACCAGCTGAAACTGAATTCAGCCTACCAGGGAGCCTGGATGGAGCTGACTGCGCTCACGGTAAATGGCTATAGGAGAAAGAAACATGTCGGATATAAAAGCAAGACATTTGTTGTGCTTGTCCACTACAGGAACTTAACAATCCCCAACCTGGACTTTTGAGATTCTTGTGAAGCTCTATGGAGCTTTAGTACTCTGAAAAAACTGAAACGTTGACTTTAATCAAATGTATTATTTCAACAGATTTGACATTACTGTTTTAGGTTAGTTGAAGGCATAATATTAAGTTAAAATAAAAAAGGTTTTGGTTCAACTTAATATATTTGCTTTTAACTAACCTAATACAGTTATGCGAAATCGGCTGACATTATACATTTAATTAAAGTCAATGTTTCAGTTTTTTCAGTGAATAAGAGGATGTAACTGTAAAAAGTGGAAGTTAAGCAGAACAGCAATCAAATGAGTGTTATATACTAATACCCACATCAGATCTGAGATCAATGAAGAACCTCTGTACACAGATCAGGGAACATAAAGCATTATGTTTAGTATTCACTGTGCATCTTGTAATTTTTAGACACTAGACCTGTCTGGCAACCAGCTGTCACACATCCCGTCCGACCTGCCCGAGTCCCTGGAGTACCTTTACCTGCAGAGTAACCGTATCTCAAGTGTTCCTGCTTCAGCATTTGAAGGCACTCCAAACATCAAAGGCATCTTTCTCCGGTAAGAGACCCACAAACCATTTCTTATACGATGAGTACCTCTGGAACTCAGTGTTGGGTAGTTGTCAGTCCTTTTTTTCTCAACGGGTGTTACGCAATGGTTAACTCTGTATTTTTCCCTCATGATTGTCTGCACAAGCTGTGTTACTTCAAATTAGCTGCATGAAACACAAGTGAGGGAACAGGCCATTATTTGCCGCTGTAAGGGCTTTGTGGAAATCTGGTAGGTGGTCCCTTTCATAACTTTCTTTTCCTTTTAGATTGATCTCCACTCAGGGAATGATTGCGCAAGTGCGACTGAAATATGGCTGTGTGGAAATTGTTGCTTTTGTTATACTGCTCTGCAGGTCTCCAAGGGACAGCAGCTGCTGGGTACGCCAGTGTTCTTTCCTCGATTTCAAAACACATTCTTACAAACAGAGTTTATGGACAATGAGAAGGTATTGAGAAAGTGTGGATGGAAAGACGACTTTCACAGTGCAGAAAGCTCAAAGTCTCTGAATGGATTTTGTTCAATATATGAAAGTAGTGTAAGAGTATTGCATAATTTGAAGGAATAGATTGCCTTGTTGGGAAACACACTTACTTTTTAGTTCAAGAAATGTAGCTTAAGCCAGCTGGTTAGCTTTGCGCAAAGACCGGGAACAGCTGACCTGGCTCTGTTCAAACATTACTAAATGTTCTGTCTGGAACATTGCTTTTCAACAAATTATATTTTCTTAGTTTGATCCATACACAATCTGACACAAAACATTTTCTCGGTTATTTTATATGACTGAATATTTGTTTTTCAAAAATGTCCTTTTTCTTTTGTAGACCTCCACGGCCTTTGATTAGAATTATATCTGTTTATTTTCCAAAACAAATAATAGATTTCTTTCAAAACGTAAATGACTATAGAGTGGTGTAGAGTACTAAAACCCAGAAATGACTTCACATATTACCAATTCCGGTTCCCTTTTGGACATGTTTGTGCAGAAGCCTGAAATAAGGTCTGTGGTTAAAACAAGGCGAAGAGATGTTCACTTTTGGTTCCACTATATAAAGTACATCAGTAAATACCCTACTTGAGAATGTATGAAGCGTTAACGTGTCTCAAAAACGGCAGTTGCTAACAAATGATCTAATGAGACTACTAAACATCATCACGTCAACACTAGACTGCCTTTAGCTTAGCTTTGGCTGTGCGCAGTCATGCAACCGTGATGTAGTTTGTTTATTGCCTAACATTACCTTTTTACTACCTTTTAAATCACAAAGTTGTGTTTATATGTGGAAATTATCCTGCTGAACAAAACATGTTACGGCCCGTCCACACGGCGGCGTGCGTTGAAGCTTCAACGCTTCTGCCCATTCACTTTGAATGGGGTGACGTCACGCTTTGCCGAACTGCATTGTGGGAGCGTTGCTTCGCTTTGCTCGTGTTGCTCGGTTCAAAAGTTGAGCAATGTTCAACTTTTGAAGCTTCGACAGAAGCGTCAGCCAATCAAATCATATGCCAGTACAAGCTCTAGCCAATCAAAGCGCGTGCTTGTGTGTCCGGGGCGGGAGATTCATGTGATTGGTTGTTGGTCGAGTTTCAGACACGCCCACCGGCAAGCTTCAACGCACGCCGCCGTGTGGACGCTGCGTTAGGTATCATAAATACAGTATGTGTTTGCCAAACATATTTGTTATGCAATATACCAAAAATCCAATGGGTAAATCCCATTTATTTTTGTTGAGGGAGCCCTTGCGATGCTAACTTCCGAGTTGGCCTACACAAATATGTCATCACTGCAACACTTTATGCAGTTTCATCGTAAGGGAAAGGTAATTGAAAGGAGACCAGGCTTCCTAAACTGTTGATAGCTTCATAATTATCAATAGTGAAAACTCTACTAAACCCTACTTTTAACCCATAACACCACAGTTCAAAATATAATTTTCTATGTTACAATCCCTGTTGCCTTCGTTATTACTAATCAAATACATTTTCTATGTTGGACAGTCTGAATGAGCTTCATTTTGCAGAGTACTGCGTTGTGGTATCTAATCCCTCCATCTCTTGTGTGCATTCAGCAAATGTTCCACTTTGGTTTATTCCACATAGTGCAGGCTTACACCCACAGGCAGCTGAAAGCAGCGGTCAGACAGTGAAGAGGTTGCAGATGTGCGCTTTAAAGCTTTTGTTCTGTTTGGTTGTCAGCCTGACCTCAACCTAGTTGCTTTATGGCTCTTGTTTATGGGACTTGACCCCTTCCAGGCTGCTGTGCTCTTTCTGTTGTTCATATCAGCTGTTGCCACATTTATTTTCTTTTTTTCCCACCAAACTCCCCCCACAGCTGGCAGCCTTTGGCCTGAGCCAATTTAGTGTGGCTGGAATGCTTTCCGTGAGTAAGTGGAAGTGAAAGGAGGATTTACGTGTGTTTATTCATTACTAACTGCATGTGTATTACCCATTGGCTATAGATCATGGGCAACATATGCAAGCATTTAGATAGATAAGATTAGATGAAGGTCATTCCAGTGTTTCAGAAGTGCTTTGATGTTCAGTGAGTAAAAAACCTACTAAATGTATAGTATTTGATTGAATTAAAACATTATTCTGTGGGAAATTCATTGTGGCATATATTCTCGATAGATATGTGCCACTACACTGATCCCTGAGTGGATCAAAGCTAACAGATGTGATTTGTATACAGTATGTCACCTGCTGTCTGCTTACCATTCTGCACGACAGGATTTTTGCTTTCAGCCTCTGAAATGTCACCAAAAGCCAACTGTCAATTGAGTAATAAAGCATCACGAACATTTCCCTTTTCCTCCTTTAAGGTTTAACCGCCTGGCTGTGGATTCTGTGGACGAAAGCTGTTTCGCACACCTGTCCAACTTGCAAGTACTGGACATTGGCACAGGAAACACCGACCTCCCCTTTAAAAGAGAGGAGATAGAGGAGGAACTGGAAGCATAAGACACGGTTAGCTGACATTGGACCGCTTAGTGTCAAGGACAGAAACTGATTATAAATAGGAATTAACCCTTGAATGTAATTCCAGTGCTATTATTGTTTGGAAGTTACATATCTCTGGTGCAGGATACCGGATAAAGTTATTTTAGTTTCCTTTTTTTAGGCTGGTTATTATAGCATATCTTTATATCTGAACTTTAAATATTTGTTTTGGACTGTTGACACGCAACATATATTGTCTGATTGTGTTTTTGTGCATTAAAAACAAATACATTACATACAGTAGGTAAATGTCAATTTTCCCATGTGAATGTTTCAGAATCAATACCACAATAAAGTAGTAATTAGTGTTTTTACACCAAGGGTAAAAGATTAGCAGTTTCATTTTAAAACCAAGAAAGCCCTTAGTAATCAAAAATCATTTGACACTCAGTACAAATGATATTGCTGCAATTCAATTTCATTATGATTGAAGCAAGTTTCACTGCTTTACCAGGCCATCAGAAATCTCTTTCTGATGGGGAAATGCCACCGTGATCTCAGCTCTCTCCAAAGCCACCAGACTCCATTCAAAAGACACTAATTTTACCTTGCAGAGCACGGGAATTGCTGGCTTGCTACTTGTCAATGAGAAACAACACCCAAGGGATTCATGAGACACAATGCATAAGGTCATGAACTGTATAGGTAAATGTACAGGACATGATGCACATATTGCTTAATGAGTTCAGTATTTCTTTGTTGGATGACATTGTCTTTTTTATTAAAATAATGTAACGTGTTGATTTCCATTGGACCACAATTTGGTGGGACGCTCTCCAAAGACAGACCGAGTAGCCACCCAGAGCATGTTAGCTAGCGCCAGTGGACAATAAGTGTGACATTTCGAACAGAACCCTTGGACTTGTGTTGTTAAATTGCACTTGATGTTACCACCAGTTAACACAGCTGCTGTCAAACCAACCAGGAATTAATTCTCAAGGACTGTTAATTCAGAGACTAAAGCTTAGCTGGGTGTTCTCACTCCCAACTCGTCAAATACGGCAGGTGGTCAGCAGTGGTGGAAGAAGAAGAGTATGTTTTTACCTTATGTAAAATAAGCAATACTACATTTTAAAGGTATTTTGTTACGAATAAAAGTACTGCATTTCACTTCAGTAAAAGTAGAAAAGTACTCATCATGCGTAATAGCCTATTTCACAATCTTATTTATATTGAGTTACTATTAAGATTATATATAATAATAATCTAAACCTAAAAAGTATCAAGTAATAAAAAGCTGTCAAATAAATGTAGTGGAGTAAAAAGTGCAGTGGCTTCTAAAAAGTATTGTCAGTAGTACAAAGTAGCATAGACTGAAAATACTCAGGTAAACTACAAATAACTCAAAATTGTATTTTAGTACAGTACTTGTACATGTAAAAGTACATTGTTACTATCCACCACTGGTGGTCATTGGCCTAGGCATCAAACTATGATGCTCCATTCACCTCTTGAACCACAGTTTTGCATGTCAGCTCTCATCTAGTGGTCGCAATTATTCTGACGAGAGTTAAGTGTGGCGTAATAAGAACGTTAGTTGTGCAGTTAGTTGGATGGTCTTTTACCCAGGAGACCACTTTGTGTTACGTGTAAAGCCAAAAGTCAATGTTGACTTATTTTTACTTACTGAATCCAACCAAATAGTTTCATTCTCTAAACCTAACCAAGTACTAATGTTAACTTACGGTACAGATGCAATGTACTTAACCTAATCATATGTTGTAGATAAATCGATACCGATAAAGGAGAGCATTACAAAATTACACCATTGGGTCTTGAACAAGGTTGACGAGTTGGAAATGAGAACATGTTGGCTTAGCAGGTTTCCATGATAAATTAATCAAATTATTTATATTTTCAAAGCTATCTTATGTTATTTGTTTTTCTTATCACTAAATAATTGAGTTGAGAGTACTGTTTCAGCATGTTGGGGAAAAGGGACGGATGAAGAGCCAGTGAGGTATCAGAATGACAGCCTTGAATCTTAAATACCAGTAATTTACCTATAATGAAGACAATTATGGATATAATCATGATTTGAAATTGTTCTTTTACCATGTGCTTGTGAATGAAATATTCAAAACACATCTAAAGCTTCAACCCATTCCGCTGTTACTTAAGTTCATTTCTATTTCTTGCTTTTTTAAATGATAGTAAATATTTTTATATGACATTGAAAATACTCATTCTATTACACTCACTATATTACTATGAATACAGTGTCACTTTCACAAACAGCAGTATAGTATTTCCACAAATACAGTAATTGAACACAGCAATAAATGATTTTAAAAAGGCTGAAGAAGACTGTGCGTTTCCTAACATTCACCAGAGCATATATTTAATATTTTAGCCGGTTCTCTCACACAAGTCAGTGTCACTGTTCATTTCTCATTTGACTCCAAATATGAGGCTAGTGCTTAAACATTATTTATAATAACAGGAGGAAAAACACATCTCAGTTAACAATCTGTTCTCTTCCCATGAGAAAAATGTTCGCAGCTTTTTCACTCTGAAGTCTCTGACAATTACTGTTCACATAGCTGACAAAATAGTGGATAAAATGACAAAATACATAAAACCTTGCATGTGATTAGAGTAAAATGCTATATAGCTTAACCCTTGAGTTAAACTTTGAATCACTTTAGTGCAGAATATTGAGAATTTATATTAACCAACACAGTAGAAAAGCGCAAAAGTTAATGTTGTTACAGAATATTCAGTGCTGTGTCTCAATTTGGACAATTCCCTTAGTAAACTGTATGTTGTACACTGTGAATACCTACGCAGATTATAAATGTTGTCCATGGGTCAAATTGAACACTTTCATCGGAAGTGATCGCTGCTGCTAGCTAGCTAGCAACGTTATCGTCCACAGTAGCAAATCGTTACCGACTGCCCGATTTAACCACTAAAACTAAAGGTGGCATCTGAAGCAAAGAACGAGAACTTGGTCCAGCTTTTTGGAGAAACAGAGATATAAGCTTTATCTCACCCCTCATGTCCAGGGCAAGGTCATATCACTGGCTTAAGATATAGACAAGCTAACAGTGTTAGCTAGTAGTCAGACAGAATATCTAGAGTGTAGCTTAATGTGCTTTATGGAAACATGGCTTTAACAGGATATACCTGACGACAGGGAGTTTCGTGTACAGACCGGGGGGGGGGGGGGGGGGGGGCACAATTAGCTTAAGTCTCAATTTGGCCAGTGGCAGCACTGCCTACAGGGATTGAACCGAGAGCTTTACGATGTCTTCATAATGAGCCTGTGTGTTCAACATTTCTTAAGCAGTGTTTAGATACATTTGTATTGCACATTTTAACTTCAATTTCCTATGTTTAAAGATATATTTATTTTATTCTAAAATGGTGCAACTGTCACACAACTTAATTTCTTCCTGAGATAATAACATTCATTCTCATTAACCGGTCAAACTGCAATCGAGGCTGGTTGCACCTCTTCCGTTACGTGGCCAAGATGGCTGTCGTTGATGAGTGTGAGAAGTGTAAACCATTCCAGACTTTTTGACCGTTATGAGTGCACCATCCGGGTACATACAGTATTTTGACTGCATATTTGCCTTACTTTTGTAAGGGGGCGCACGTATGCACTCAACATAGCACATGTATGTACAGAAGTATGCACATTGAGACACAACACAGGTCATGTTTGATATACTATACATAGTAGCCAAAAATCTAGTCAACCAACAAACGGCCCCGTTGGATTATGTTGAATTACCAGTGGTTGTTTTAGGCTGTTCAAGTGACTGGAAAGTTTATTAAAATCAGGTGCTCCTGAGGCTGTTTAAATAAATCTCAATTTTGCTCTAGTATTACCTTTCTCACATGACCATAGTCCTCTCTTCCCAGTCATCCCGTCAACCTAGCACCACCAGCTTTGTTAAGGCAAAACTAAACAATCAGGGCATCTGATCATTTAGCTCAAACCAGACAGTTGCACTCATGCCTTGTGTCTTATATGCAACCCTGTCTCCTTCAAATTACTTTCTGATACAGGTCAACTGCATTCTCAATCACTTTCAAGGGACAATTCTGGATTACTGTCAAAGATTAAAGTATACGTTAAAATAATTCAGAGAAAAATAATAAAGCAACAAAAACACTTTTGTTATATAATTGTATCCTTTTAGACATGTGTGGGACACTGTCATGATCAGCGTATGAATAGCCAGAATGTTTTGTAATGTCACAGTTACCTTTGAACACACAATTGTCATCAGTTCATTCTTGAGTCCAGGTGAAGGTTTGTCTCTTGGGAAATTCCTACCGGGTGCTCTTGAGATATTGCGATCACAAGAATTAAATGGATGTGAGGTCACAGTTATCTTTGACCCCCACATTCTAATGTACTTAATCCGTGAGTCGTAGTGTGTTCCCAGTTGGATCTCGCACTGATTTCAAAATAATCTGTGACATGTCAAAAACAAAACTCTTTTACCTTGAAACGTAATTGACAATGCAGTTTAGTTGTATTGGATCGTAGATGTTGGAAACCAGGCTGCCTATATAACATAAACAGCTGGTTGCTTGCACTAGTATAAAATATTATAAACACAGGACAAAAAAATCATAAATTATATAAAATGTAAATATCAAATAGAAATCAGTTTATCAATGCAAGTACTCACACCTGACATCAGTGTCTGGGGGTTAAGGTGTAGGTCCACACCAAGGACGAGTTTTATGAATAAAATCATAAACATGTTGTCCTTCTGGTATCCATGGTCAGTGTGATACTTGTCCAGTCACAGAAAGCATTTCACTGCTATACAATTTTCCCACTACGAGGCTTATCTCCTAGTTTCCAGGACATCTTGTCCCCCCAATATGATAAGATGCAAGCTGCGCTGTCCTCCCATCGGTAAAGACATCCTTTGCTCCAAAGTTCTGCTCAGCAAATCTACACAGAAAACCGATGAACTCAAGGAGGAACTATACGTTGGTCTCAAGACCGTTAATGTCGATGGTGCAGTGCTCTTTGATCTTCTTCAGGTGCCTCGGGGGAATCGGAGGCTTCTTCCTCTCCGCAGGCGGCCGGACGCCCTCCTCCAGCTGCATCAGCCTGGCCACGTCAGAAGGTACGAGCTCGTGTTTGCCTCCTGAAGAAGGGGGCCGGTAGTTACCGTTGTTGTTGTGGCAGTTCATCATAGTTGGGGCGTTCAACACGGGCTTGGGCTCACAGATCAGAGGCACCTGGGGGCCGATGGGTTCACAGGAAGGGAAGCACAAATGGAATTAGGAAGTAGAAGAAAAAATGACAGACAAATGTCAGGATGAAAATGTATGCAACATGTCGATAAGAGATGTACAGCTCCTGATGTTGTATAATCTATAAGGACAGTAACTACAGATAAAAACATATCCTTTCATTCTAAATGTCTTCTATAATGGAGAGTTTGCTTGTTGCATTGTTCAATTTGTTAAAAATAACTAATATGTTCTTTTACATCATTTTTATCCACTACTAAAACGATGCATGACAAGTTGCCACTAACATTATTAAACACTAACTGTGACAACCTCAACAGGAATTATTGATGGCCTTCAAAAGACGGCGCCTCCCATATCAGGCCTACAGTGTCAGCACACGACTACTAGCCGTGAAGACGTCAGGCAACTTACTAACTTAAGTTAACGCTAATGTTTAGCAAATGTTTGGACATTCAAATTAAAATAAACCTGCCATTTCATTTGGTTTTCAATTCTCAGAAAGTAGTATTGAGAACACCCCAGGAGCAGCTCGATTAATAACATCCAGTCCATGCTTTTGTTATGAATTACCCGTTAATGAAAATCCATGTTAGGGTCACAATTGGGCAAGTGTCCTAAATAGAGAAGAACTGAAGCCATAATTAAAACTCACCCCATCCCCCTCTGCCATGAAGTCTTTCCTGCAGATGTGTGCCATGATGCCTGTGGCCAGAGCGTCCCCCATTACATTCACCATGGTTCGGAATCTGTCTCTGTAGAAGAGGAAGACATTTGAGAGGATAAGACGAATAAACCTGAAATATTTTGGGACATTTTGACCAAATGAAGAGGAGATGAAGAAGATGGGGCTCATGTGTTTTTTTTATCTCGTATTTATAATTTGGATCTGGAAGTAAGTGAACACACTTGCTACTTACAATGCCCAGTCGACTGCAATGATGAGAGTGATGTCGTCAGTTGGCAACCCAACGGATGTTAGCACTATCACCATGGTGACCAGTCCAGCTTGTGGGATCCCTGCGGCACCAATACTGGCTGCTGTGGCTGTGATACTGGAAATGTAAAAAGAAACATGATGTCAACAAAGACATTTTTAATATAATGTATTGTAACAACTGAAGTTAAATATTGACCCTGAGACCCTGAACAAAGGTTGAAGGATGTCATGAAAGAACAATGCACAACCAAATTCACAAAGACAAGCTTTTTTCTCCAAAACGGTATATCATCACTCCTCTTTTACAAAAGCAATTGCCTTTCCACTGTATTTGACCCTCTAATGGAGTTTAACAGAACTATAATTACTGCCTTGCGGTTGTATCACCCACAACCAGTACATTTGCAGTGTATACAAATCTTATAACTTCATACATGTTATCATATTAGATATTCGTTTGAAAGCATAGGAATTATGGCAAAAAAAATGCTATTTTTGTGAAGTCACAATGAATATGTCCTTTGATGGACAAATGTACACAACTCGAAAACCAACAGTTGCGCTTATAAGTACCCCTCCTGGGACATGGAAACCAGAAAGACTGAACTGAACTAAGATGGAAGCGTAAGCTAAAATGAACCCAGGTTAGAGAAATTCTCACCATGTTGTCAAGGAAAGTGAACAATAAAGGGAGATAATTCGGACCATACAGTGGTAGGCAGGGGAGAAAGTAAGTCAATATGTTTTTTTAACTGTAATCTTGCCCTAACATTAACAAATAGAGGTAGTTGTGTAATCCTAAATATACCTTCTGTCAGGGCGTCCCAGGCTAAGAATATAAAGATTTGGAACGTTATTGGTAAGACTCGGCAATTGCATATTGGCTAACAATAAGTTGGTAGCCAATGGTCATTGAAGTGTAAGTGCGCCGTTGACCGTTGTATTGACACAGAGAGGAGACCGATAGAGTGATATACAAAACACGTAACTACATTTGGTTTCTCAGCCTCCTTACGTTTCATGACTGTACGAAAAACATATGGCAATAATTCCATTCCTCCAGTAAGGAAATCATCAAACAGAGAGAGTGAGATACAAGAATTAAAAATACTTTTCTATGCAT